ATCCAGGAGGAGCAGATTTTTGAGATAGATTGCACCATGCTGACGCCTGAAGCTGTTCTGAAGACCTCTGGGCACGTGGACAAATTTGCAGACTTCATGGTGAAAGATGTAAAAAGTGGAGAATGCTTCCGAGCTGATCACCTCCTGAAGGCCCATTTACAGAAGATGATGTCAGACAAGAAGGGCGCCGCGGAGAAAAAGATGGAAATGGAGAAGGTGATCACGCAGCTGGACAACTACAATCAGGAACAGCTTGCGGATCTGTTTGTCAATTACAATGTGAAGTCCCCCCTAACAGGAAATGACCTCACTGCTCCGGTGTCTTTCAATCTCATGTTCAAGACCTCTATTGGCCCAGGAGGAAACATGGCTGGGTATGTGGCTGTATGAAAATGGGGTGGAGGGGGGGAGAAAGAGGGTGCTTGGGTTTTACTGGATTTGAATTTGTCCCTGCATTTGTAATTCCAGCTGGTTGAGTTTCCTTATTTGAGGGAGAATCTGGGGATCGTTGCTTCATTCTGGTGGACAGGATGGCCCATCCATCCAAAGAGGAAAGAAACAGCAAGGTGTGCCAGTGGACAGCCTCCAAAACTGTGCCTTGTAGTTTCCTCGGGCTTTGGGAAGATCTGACAAGGCTAATACCAGGGGATTTACATTTCAGATAGTCAGGAGGATTCTGGGAGTTGAAGTCCACTTGTCTCAGGAACTCTGCTTTAGTGGCCCAGGGCAAAGCGAAGTGAGAGTGGGAATCATTTACTGGGCTCTGTCAGAGCAGTTATTATTGCAGGTAGTCCTCGACTTAAGACCACAATGGAGTATAAACAAGATAGCTGTAGAGTGAGTTTTGCTCCATTATACGACCTTTTTTGCCACAGTTGTTAAGTGAAATACTTCAGTTGTTACGTTTATAACAGTGAATCTGGCTTCCCCATTGACTTAGTTTGTCAGAAGGTCACAAAAGGGAATCACGTAACCCCAGGACACTGCAGCATCATTAATAAAGCCCCTGAATTTTGATCACGTAATCATGGGGATGCTGCAACAGTCATAAGAGTGAAAAGTGCTTGTAAGTCACTTTCAGTGCCATTGTGGTCACTAAACAAATGCTTGTAAGTTGAGGACCACCTGTTCCACTATTTAGTTCCTCATGGTAGGAGAGCGTTTTCACGGGGCTACATTTGGGAAGCTAGGCTGTCTTGTCTTGCTATCAGCTGCTAAGCGTTCCTGCTTTCTTTCTTCCAATTATTGTTTCCCACATCCCCACATCCCACCCCCTCTGATAGATATTTGAGGCCAGAAACCGCCCAGGGAATCTTTCTGAACTTCAAACGTCTTTTGGAATTCAACCAAGGCAAACTGCCTTTTGCTGCTGCTCAGATTGGCAATTCTTTCCGGAATGAAATCTCTCCTCGCTCAGGTCTCATCAGGGTCAGGTAATTGCTCTGAAAATTTGAGATGGGGGGGGGGGGCGAATATGGTCCTCACTGGATTTGATAGGTGTATTTATTTTGTTTTTATTGGTTCATCCTATTTCTACAGCCACCCATCTCACAATCAAGGGACTCTAGTGGCACACAACAAAAGCTAAAATAATATACAAGTAGTCTTCGAAAATTTCTGTTGCTAACAGACAAGAAACCTTTGCCCCATTTTATGACTTGTCTTGCCACGATGGCCATTAAGTGTGAACCGTGATAATAAATCCCTTTTTTTTCTGTGCTGTTGTAGCTTCAAATTGTCCCTAGGTGAACTCTTGTTAGTTGAAGATTACCTCTGTTGCTTTTATTGTTGTAAGCTGTCCAGAGTTGCCTTGCAGCAAGATGAGCAGCAAATAAATAGAATGAATAAATAAATAAATATATGCTACTTGCACAAGCTTCTGAAGTTTGATTACATGATCATGGGGGAACGCTGCAATGGTTGTAAGTACGAGGACTGATCATAAATCACTTTTTCCAGGCCATTGTGACTTTGGACATTTGCTAAATGAATGGTTGTAAGTCAAGGACTAGCTCTAACTACCTATAAGCTGTGGTCTACCTGGTAATTCATAGACTGTAAGATTTAAAGATCAACATGACTAACTGATAATCTTTGTTACAAATGCCTCCTTCCCCTCAGAATGCACGTGCATCCAATTCCACTTTTCCTGCTATCAGCCTGAATCTGCATCTCCCCATGTTCCCCCTCCAGTGATAAAAATCCCCACTCTCAGCTGTCTTGGCAGGTGCCGAGTTTGTTTTTTAATCTTTTGTTATCATACATCCCAGAGAATAGCAGCATTAGAGAGGTTTTTTTTGTGTGTGACAAAGAAGACACTGAATATTTGGCTCTTTGAAGACATAGTGTTTGAGTTACAACCTGCCTATTATCTTCATAAATCATAACATTTGTAAAACAGGTTGGTCACATATTGACCCGACTTCGCAACTTTTTTTTCTGGTCGTTAAGCAGATAGCAGTACATAACAATTAAAAATATTTTAATTATTTCCATTCACATTTTATTCTGTTCCCTCCTTTTGCATTGTTTCTTTAATGAGTCTATTCCACTATTTGTTCGATGTTAATGTAACCCTTTTCTCACAGCAAGTTGGCCATGGCAAACGTCATAGTCCCCTCTCTAAGCAGAGTCAACCTATTGCCCTCAGGAATCTGGCTCCTCGTTTTACTTACCTTGGAAGTATGGAAGGCTGAGTCAACCTTCGGCTGGTCAGGATTGAACTCCTGGCAGTGGGCAGGCGGCAGTTAGCCTCTAATACTGCATTCTGAAATGCATTGGTTGTGTGACCACCATGATTATTTTATTATTTATTAATTAGACTTATATACTGCTTCATAGAGCTTTCAGCCCTCTCTAAGCAGTTTACAGATATATTTTTTTAGCAAATTGAGTCAGTAAATTGCCCCCACAGTCTGGGTCCTCATTTCACCCACCTCAGAAGGATGGAAGGCTGAGTCAACCCTGAGCCGGTGAGATTTGAACCGCTGAACTGCAGATAACAGTCAGCTGAAGTGGCCTGCAGTGCTGCACTCTAACCACTGCGCCACCTCGGCTCATTAAGCGAATGTGGTGCTCATAAGTGCAAGAACACGATAGGCAAGGTTTTGCCAAAACCCAGAAGTAATTGCCAGTCCCACCCACCCTCAAAATCATTGTAAAACTCGATCACTAGACCACAAGCTGCTGCAAACAATTGCAAATGATTGTGTTGCCAAGCGTCTGAAGTGTGGTCACATGACCAAAAGATGTGTTGGTTGTTGAAATTTTAAATCCACTTTGCCCACTTTTTCAGACAAGTCATAACTTTGAGCTGTTGCTAAGCAGCCAGTTGCAAATCGAGGACTGTCTTTATCCCCCCTAAGATTTGCTCACTTATTGAGAGAAGTTACAATCTCAAACATTTCTCTATATGCTTCAGGGAATTCACAATGGCAGAAATTGAACATTTTGTGGACCCCAGGGAAAAATGTCATCCTAAATTTCAAAATGTAGCCGACCTCCGCATCCTCTTGTATTCTTCCAAAGCCCAGACCAGCGGGGAACCAGCCCGTGTCATGTGTTTGGGGGATGCTGTTGAGCAGGTAAGGACTCTGGGGCGTTCTTGTGAACAAGAGGAAATCCTCTTGACTCCCTTCGTTACATTCAGTGTGGAAGGAGAATGAAATCAGATACAGACAACGGCTGAATTCATGGGAACGGCCAAGCTGTTTGATTTATAGCAGCTGGGTTTAACTCTGTACCTGCTGAGGGTTGGACTTCCAATCCCATAATCTCTACCCATCTTCCACTAGGAAGTACAGAGAAACCTGGGCTGCAACACACTGGGAAGGCTCCTTGGCAGGCTTAAGATAGAGCATGGCTGGCTGGGGAATTCTAGGAGTTGGAGTCCACGCATCTCAAAGCTGCCTCGGTCGAGAAACACTGAGATAAAATAGTCATAATTGAATACTCATCGTGCTCTAAGGAGCCCACATAAAATGTACCTGCGAAAAGATTTCATAATGTTGAGAGAAAATACAGTAATCCCTTCCCAGTGAAACCGGGGGTGGGGGGGAGGGTGAGGAGGTTGGGGTGACTAGGATTAGGAGTGGCAAGATGCTAATCTTCCAGTACTTGAGGGGCTGCCACAGAGAAGAGGGGATCCACATATTGTCCAAAGCAACTGAAGACAGGACAAGAAGCAATGGATGAAAACTAATTAAGGAGGCAACCAACTTAGAACTAAGGAAAATGTTCTTAGTGGGCAGTAGAAACAATTAAGCAGTGGAACGGCTTGACTACAGTGGGTGCTCCAACATTGGAGGTTTTTAAGAAGAGATTGGATAGCCACTTGTCTGAAAGGGTACAAGGCAGCGATGGCGAACCTATTTTGGCTCGCATGCGTTAAGAGGGGGGAGCGCAGGGGGGTCGTGCACGGGTATGCCACACCCATAATGCAACGTGTGACCCTCCCCAGTGCGCATGTGTGCATGAGAGGCGCTTCCCCCATTTTTTGCATGCTTTTTTCGCTCTCCCCAGGCTTCAGAGGCTTTATAAGAGCCTGGGAAGGGTGAAAACAGCCTCCCCCACCCCACCCCCTGGAGGCTCTCCGGAGGCTTCAGTGACCTTCAGGAGGTTTCAGGGAAGCGTCCGTGGAACTGAAAACGACCCTACGAGCAAACAAGAAGTGACTTCCGGTTTGCTCGTAGGGTCCTTTTTAGTCCTCCACAGGTTCAGGGAAGCCTCCTGAAGGTCCCTGAAGCCTCCGGAGTCCGTTCCCAAACTTCTGGTTTGCCCATAGGGCCGTTTTTTTGTGCTCCGGAGGCTTCAGGGAAGCTCCTAAAGCCTCCGGAGGCTTCTGGGGGGAGGGAGAAGCTCTTTTCGCCTTCCCCAGGTTCCTATAAAGCCTCAAGGCCCTCCAGAGGGCGAAAAATGGCTTTAAAAAAGGCTGAACTCACCTGGCCACTGCACGCATGCGTGCTGGTCAGCTGATAGGGCAACGCCCCGCATACCCTGACAAGTGGCTCTGCGTGCCATAGGTCGCCATCCCGGATATAGGGTCTCCTGTTGAGCAGGGCATTGGACTAGAAGACCTCCAAGATCCCTCCCTATTCTGTTCTGTATTGTACTGGCTAAGAATTTGCTGAATTGCATTGCCAGGATCCTTAGAGATGCCAAGTAAGGGAAGTTTTCTGGAGAAATGTTTTCTGCTCCTTTATACCTCCTTACAGTTTTTGTTCCTTTGAAAAGCCTCTTTGCTTCTCTCTGCTTTCCCAGGGTGTGATCAACAATTCCGTCCTGGGCTACTTCATTGGCCGGATCTACCTCTACCTCATCAAAGTTGGCATCTCTCCAGAGAAGCTTCGTTTCCGGCAGCACATGGAGAATGAGATGGCTCATTACGCCTGTGACTGCTGGGATGCGGAGACCAAAACCTCCTACGTAAGCAGTAGCATATGTCTCTTCACAGTTCTTTATAGCCCTCTCTAAGCAGTTGACCGAGTCAGCCTATCGTCCCCAACAATCTGGGTCCTCATTTTATAGACTTCAGATGGATGGAAAGCTGAGTCAACCTTGAACCAGTCAGGATCAAACTGCTGGCAGATGGCAGAATTAGCCTGCAATACTGCATTCTAACCACTGCGCCACAACCAAAATGCCAAGCTTTCGAGTTCTTGAGTGGAAAGCCCAACTCGGTGTGTGCGTGTAGGTGCATGCATGCACACATGCATCTTAAGGTGAATCTTGTGATTAAAGCCGAAGTTGAATTGTCAAGAAGTGCCTCTCCAAAGGAAAATCTGCTAATTCCTCTTTTAAAATGCTCCTGAAATTATAAATTTATAAAAGATTCTGGAGGTAGGTCTTCTTAACAGATTGCCTTAGAAAGTACATGGCTTCTAATCGCTTTTAAACTCCTTCCTGTATGCAGTCCTTATCTCCCAGCTCTCTGTGGTTAGGCTCAGGTTTATAACAGTTCGCCATGGCCAACTCATTACACCAATTTTCTATGGCCAGCTCACCACAAAGCAACACAGCCAATCAACCACCGGACAACTCGCTGCAGGACAAGAGTTACACTAATATCAGAGAAATGATGGAATGGAATCATTAAAGAAAGGATTGAAAAGGAGGGACAAAATGAAATGAGAATGACAAAAATTAAAACAATTTTAAGTTTATTTTAAATAATTAAATTGAATTGTTAAGTTGTCCCATGGCGAGTTGGCTGTAGTGCGTTGTTCTGCATTGAATTTGGCTTCAGTGCAGGATCGCTTGGACGTCATGATTTGTCTGTAAGTGAAGGCTTCATTTTTGTTTTTGTTTAACTTTTCCAGGGCTGGATCGAAATTGTTGGCTGCGCTGATCGCTCCTGCTACGACCTCTCCTGCCACGCCAGAGCCACCAAAGTCCCTCTCGTTGCTGAGAAGCTTTTGAAGGAGCCGATATCCTTTTCTGAAAGAAAACCATGGCTGTTCCATCCATTTTGGTGTGAATGAGCTTTACAAGCATTTGGGGCCACTAGGATGAAATCAAGGAACTGCTGTGAGCTAAGAGCTATTTTGTGGGGGAGGTCATGATCACCATTTGTGACCTTCCAAGCTGGGTTCCAACAGGAAAGTTGAGAATGGGGAAAGCTGGATTCACTTAACAACTGCGTGACTCTCTTAACAACTGCAGTGATTCACATAATAACCATGGCAAAAAGGTCTTAAAACTGAAGCAGCACACTTAATGACTGTCTTGCTTAGCAATGAAAATTCTGGTCCAGTTATCATCATTAATCGAAAGCTGCCTGTAAAAGCGTAAAGAAAAGGTTGTAAAATTGGGTGTGACTCACTTAGCAACCTCCTTGCTTAGCAACGGAAGTTCTCCCAATTTTGATAATAAGTCGAGGACTACCTGTAAATGCCCCAAAAAATGGTGGGAAAGACCAGTTTTAAAAAGCATTTATTGCCGCGTGTGGCATCACATGTGCACAAACACACTTGCAGTTGGATTCCTTAGTGCCACCTGTACAGAATCGCCAACGTTGTTCAGTTTGAAGCCAACAAGGGAGCCATAGGGAAGGCGTACAAGAAGGATGCTAAGCTGGTGCTGGAGTATCTCGCCATCTGTGACGAGTGTTACATCAGTGAGATGGAGACGCAGCTGAACGAAAAAGGGTAAGCTGAGCCTGGCAGAACTGGGTCTCCTTGGGAGACGTGTGAGTCAAGATTTTTAAACCCAGCTTCCCAATCCAATAAATGTGGAAATCCAGTGTGATTTTATGGAGTTGATTATCTTATCACTGGCCAAGAGACTTTTGCCTTCCACCCAGAAGGTTGAAAGTTCAATCTTACGCAGCAAGACATATTTTTCTCTGTTAGGGAGAAAATATCTGCTGTGAACTCCATATAGGCGCCAGGAAGGGCATCTGGCCAGTAAACGTTCAAGCTTCATTCAAGTTGCCCCGACTCCATCCCAATGCAAGGGATTACGAGGTTGTAAAAACAAAACATTCTCTTATCTCACAATACTTATTGATGAAGACCCAACTGCCTAATTTCTTCAGAAGACTGATTGTCTTTCAGAGAAATGATAATTAAACCAGTAACAATAACCAGCAGTTTCCAAGTGACTTGCAAGAGCATCTTCTTGTAAAGAAACTTGCAGCCACCTAAAAGTGAACTGGCGGGTGTGCAAGGCACAGTCCTAAGAGCTAATGAGGGTCTGTTGGTGCAGCCAATCTTTAATAGGAATCTCTTTGCTTTGGAGGAGCTGAAATTTCCTCTTAGCATCAAAGTACATGGATTGCAACCTCCATCACCAGTTTCCTATTACATGTTTATTTATTTACTAATTTACTAACTAAATAACTATACACTCTGTCCATCTCGCTGTAAAGCCAGTCTGGGTGACTTATAGCAGCATAAATAAATAAAACAATTAAAACATCATCCCAAAGGTGCTTTTCCCTCAAAAGACAATTGGACTTTCTTGAGTTTTTTCCTCCTTTGAAAACATTTCACTTCTCATCAATGAATTGAAGAAGCTTCTTGAGTGAACAGCGAAATGTTTTCAAAGAAAAAACAAAGTCCAAAGTGCCTTTTGTAAAAAGCACCTTTGGGACCACTATGAGCTAAATGGTTGAGAGTTTCCCTAAACATTAACAATATTAAAATTTAACATTTTATTTAATTCTGCAATAAGAATTAAAGCACTAAAATTAACAAAAACCTAGACAAGAAGGGACCAATATGAAAACATGAATGGAGGCGGGATCTTCTAAACTCCAGAGTAGGATGTGCCCATCAGGACTCCAGTCAACTGGCAACCAGGCTCCTTTGGCAGACCAAAAAGGTGGGGGCAGATCTCCCCACAAAAGAGACCCTGCCCCAGAGAATGGGAGCCACAGGAGAAAAAGCTCCTGGATTCACTGGCCAGAATTCCTTGACTGACAGGGACCGTGACATGCCCCTTCTGCTGACACGGGTGGGGCAGGGCCAATCCCATTGGGGTGAGACATTCCTCGGGTAGCCTGGACCCATGCCGTAAAGGGCTTTCAAGGGGATAACCAACCAACACCTTGAATTGGACCTGGAAGGAAATCAGCAACCAGTACGAATCACACAACCACTGTGTCACACAAGCCACTCAAGGGACCTCCAGAACTGTTGTGTTTTGTACCACTTGTAGCTCCCAAATATCCCTTTAGCTCCACAGTTCAGCATCCTTTTGACATCCCTTTTTCTCCTTGGCAGGGAATTTACGATTGAGACAGAAGGGAAAACCTTTCAGGTAACAAAGGACATGGTTGGCGTGAAAAGATTCCAGAAAACCTTGCATGGTAAGTCATCTTCACTCTAAAGCTGTTCAAAAAATAGAGCTGCTTCAGCTGAAGTGCCAAAAATCACCTTGAGGGGGCAGTAGAATGTTACAATTCTCTCTCCCCCCCTCCCCCCCTCTCT